TTCTCCACATTGCGACTGACTTGCCTCTGCCTTGTAATGTGATAGCTGCTGGAATCCAGAAACTCTACTACCCTGAAACAAACGTTTTCGTTCAAATCACGTGACATACAAACTCACAAACAGATGCCAACTGACTAGAATCAGGCAGTTGAGTGACTATACCCTCATCGATTGGACACTATCAAATACCTTGAACCGTACTGAAAGAACAAGAATCGAGCACAAATAAATCAGTTGGTTTATACTAGCTAGTGGAAAATATATTGGATATATAAGCGCGCGCTACGAATTTGACGTGCCCTCGCTGACTCTCTTCCATTTACGGGAAACAATCCACTTTGGGGATACTTTATCACCTCCGAAGCTATAAAAAGTTGTCTCCATTCATTGGTTGACAATCTGAAAACATTTTCGGGAATACGGAACCATTCCAAGTCAGAACCATTGCGCGGTAGGTCTAGCTACCTCATTCAACTGCTCTATTTCTAGTTGCTTCGGCAGCATACATACATCCACTCACTCACAAACACAGGACTTGTGGACAAGTTACTGGATACACGCAAAGTTACTTACTAATACGGTAAAAGGTAAAGTTGCAATTTTGGAGTACTTTCAGGCTCTATTCCTTGTAGTTTTATTTTATACTACTAGATTTCTTCTTTCCTAAACCCCTTTTTTGTGTATCTCGTATCCTAATTTTGTGTATCTCATATTTTAATCTCGGTAATCACCTCCCAATCTCTCTGGCATCATGTCAAGTAATAAGGTCGCTAGTACTCTTTACACTGTAACAACTAGGAAGACTTATAGAGGCATAAACCCCGAGGTCGATAGCGCATCAAAAATTCCAATATCGTGCGAACGGGCTGCTAAAAGTCCCAAAAGGTCAGTCGATAGTACGCCCCTCAGTGTCCACACTTTAGACCACTCAACTCAGACACCACAGAGGAGGCAAGACACCACCCCTATTCCTAAAAAGACCAGTAAGTCAGTTAAGAATAGGAGGAAAAGACGCCCCAAGGCTCGGTCGACACTGAAACAGCATAAGGACGACTGTTTTGCCTGCTCATCACCAGTCAAAACCAGCGACCATGCTTTTGAATGCAATTTCTGCAGTACGTGGGTACATTGTCACTGCGACAATACAGTACCTAAAGAGTACTATGGTTTCATGCTGAGTCACCCCTGCCCATGGTTCTGGTACGTCTGCCCTCGGTGCAGAGTTTCTGAGGCACTGACAAAGCCACAGGTCTCACCTAAAACCAGCCCTCAAGTCCAAACGACTAAGGCAAAATCGCCTGGCACCAAACCGGTAAAACAAGTGACCAAGGCTACAACAACCCTGCCTAACACGCCGACAAAACTGCCGGTCGTTGTTGTCCCCCCAGTAGCTACCAACAACAGGCAACAATCGGTAACCGTGAAGAAGGGAAAGGGAAACACCCCAACTCACAAGCAGCCTCCACCCAAGACCAGGGACAACAGATCTAACTCCCTCATCTTATTTAACGTCCCAGTGTCGGAAGGAAGCTTGCTAGAAGGTAGGGCTGCCTTCGACAAAGAGCAATGGGATAAATTCTGCTCCACCCTCGGAATGTGCGAGGTCCCAGCTAAAATCTGTCGCCTTTTCAAAGGTCAGAACGTCTCGAAAGGAAAACCCCCTCCAATGAGGGTAACTCTTGATTCAGCACGACTAGCTGAGGACATCATCCTTTCGTCCCAAAGACCGTCGGTCAAATTGTCCTCGCTGATTCGTATCAGGCATGACAAGCCGTGGTCGGTACGTGCAGCAGCCAGAACTGCACCAGACACCCAGGAACAGACCACCATGGTAGTTCACGGCATACCCGAACTCACCAATGGTAACCCGGACGAAGCACACGAGCACGATGTGCAACAGTGGCGATGGCTATCGCGTAGCCTATCCCTCCACACCCCGATGGCAGTCTCCATCTCCAGGTTGCCCCGCCCGTCACACCTTACGTCTATCAAGTCACCACGCCTGATAGCTGTAACACTCAGGAACCGGGAAGACCTGACCGAAACACTACAAGCTTGGTACAGTTCGAAGAACGATCTACCTAGCCACATCAGATGTTGCGAGAGCCGACCTAGATCTGTGAGACAACAACAGGGAGGCCAAAATGAACGCACACAGCTGATAGTTAAACTCGGTCAACTACCTCTGGCTCAAGATGTGAGTGAACCAACCGCGCAGGCAAAAAACCTGCAGAGGCCAGTTCCCACAGAACTGGCCGACTCGGTTTAAATAACTTGTCTGAAAACCCGACTAAGGCTGATGCTGCAAATGTGCACCAGGTTCAGAGACAAACCACCAAGTGCCTCTATAGCAACGTAAGAGGACTAAGGGGTAAGCTGTTAGAAGTCAGGAATATGCGCTCTCAGATGGATCTGAAGATCATAATCCTAACAGAAACATGGCTATCCCCCGACATTGCCGACGCAGAAGTGGGCTTGCCAGGCATGACACTCTTCCGAAGCGATAGGGAACACCAAACTGGAGGTGGAGTGGCTATATATGTAAATAGCCACTTAAAAGCAGAGCGGCTATACAACACCCAACTAACTGAGGTGACAGAATCATGTTGGTGTTGGTTCCACTCAAATGGCACGAAATACTTGATTGGAGGGATCTACCGACCTCCTTCGGGTACTAGGGCCCAGAAAAGCAAACTGGTTGAAGTAATTCTGCAACTGCCACTCCTGGGGTTCGACCAAATACTCTTAGCTGGAGATTTCAATACCCCATCTTTAAATCTCAGCAACCAGAGTATCACCCCCACTGGTTGGTTCCAAAGACAACTTGGTACAGCCATTAGAAGCTCTGGCATGACTGAGCATGTACGCAGCGCCACTAGGTGGACTAAGGAAGGGAAGTCCTCAAACCTAGATTATCTGTTAACGAACGACCAGCTCCTGGTTGAGGATGTTAACATCCGCGCTCCAATAGGTAGTAGTGACCATGGCACAGTCCTGTTTAACATGGTCACAAACGAAATGCTGACACCGGACAATAACGAGCCTTACCTCTGCTACAGTAGGGCAAACTACACACGCATGAGAGAGGTGCTCCTACATGCCCCATGGCCACGGGAGTGGCGGAGGCTGACAGTAGATGATCACTGGCAAGCAGTGAGAGATATCATCCAAAACGCTGTCGTAGACAATGTACCTCAATCACACCCAAAACGCCAGAACAGAAGAACCTGGGTTAGGCGCGGCACGGAACGCTTGCTACAGGCGAAGAGGAAAGCCTGGCACAAGTGGAAGGTCTCCTTGAAGGATTCCGATCGCAGTTCTTACTTGGCATTGAGAAACAGATGCAATACCAAAGTTCGAAGCGACAGGAGACAATTCCAGACGATACTAGCCGCCAGAATAGAGGCAAACCCGAAACATCTGTTTAGGTTCATGTCCAAAAGAAAACCTACTAATCAAGGGTTGTGCCCCCTAAAAGGGCCTAACGGAGAAGACCTCACCAACCTAGAAATGGCCGAGATCTTCAACACCCATTTTTCTGATCAATTAAACCAGGCGCCTACATGTTCAGAGTATTACGCCAACCCAATGCCAGCTGACGGCTTAGGGAACATCCGTATCACCCCTGACCTAGTATCAAGGAAACTAAAATCCTTACGCCCAGGTAAGTCACCAGGTTGTGACAACATCCGCCCTATAGTCTTGCAACAGTGCGCTGAAGCCCTCTGTTCACCGTTATGCAACCTCTTCAGGCATTCACTGGAGTCACACCAATTCCCAGCGGAATGGAAACAAGCTACTCTCTCTCCAATCTTCAAAGGAGGAGATAGAAAGGACCCAGCCTGTTACAGACCAGTCGCACTACTACCTATATTATCAAAGGTTATGGAAGGGCTAGTGGACGAACAAATGAGGGAGTACATGGATAAGACTAAAATACTCCATGAAGCTCAACATGGGTTTCGGAAAGGCAGGTCGTGTGCATCTAATCTTCTCATCGCATGGGACAGTTGGACATCCTGCTTGGACCGTAAAATACCAGTGCACGTAGTATTTCTCGACTTCGCAAAAGCCTTTGACACAGTGCCCCACGCACGCCTAATCGAAAAGGTTGTGGAAATGGGCTTCACTGACCCGCTCGTATCTTGGCTCAGAAACTACCTTGAGAATAGAAAGTTTCGCACCAAGGTAAACAGGGTGCACGCGAGTTGGAGAGTTTCCACTTCAGGAGTTTCACAGGGGACCATCCTAGGCCCACTCCTCTTCCTGATATTCATTAACGACCTGCTAAGCTTAGTTAGCTCACCGGCACTGATCTACGCAGACGATGCGAAGATCTGGAGATCCATTAGAAGCGAAGAGGATTCGACTGAGCTTCAAAAGGACCTTACATCCATTGAGGAATGGGCAGTGAAAAACGGTTTAAAACTTAACCAACCGAAGTGCCACGTCATGCATTTCCTGCCTCATATGACGCAAACCACCTACTTTCTCAATGGAAGTCCGCTCCCTAATGTCTCCTCAGAGCGCGATCTTGGTTTAATAACCACAGAAAGCCTCCACACGAGTCCGAACTATGTAGGGGATGCAGCCAAGGCAAATGCGACTCTTCACTTTATGCGAAGACAGCTTGGTGCTATAACCCCGAAATTATTTTTAACCCTGTTTAAGACGTACGCGCGCCCACACTTGGAGGTTCACAACGTCATCGCACCCCCTATGCTTAAAAGAGACATTAATCTCTTGGATCGAGTGCAGAGACGAGCAACCAAATGGGTGATAGGGCTGAAAAATAAACCGTACGACGATAGACTCCAGCTCTTGGGATTATTCCCACTGAGCTACAGGAGAATCAGAGGTGACCTGATTATGGCGTACACCATATTAAACACGCCCAACCATCCCAATGTGAGCATCTTACCGATGCATCACCACCACTCCCCTCGAGGCAATCCTCAAAAGATTGCACATCAAAGAGCAAACACTCAGGTTCGTGCACACTTTTTCTCATTGCGAGTCGTCGCAACTTGGAATGCTCTCCCAGCCGAGGTAGTTACAGCCCCCTCAGTGGACTGCTTTAAGAAGAGACTTGATAATCACGTACTCACATGCGGACTATCATCTCCCTCTTGGACAAGCTGTGCCTGATGCATATCTTGAGACCTGCTAGTTGTTACCATTGCCATCTCCTCAGATCACTTAATTAATTTAACTCGCCTATTCCTCTCCCTTGCTTACACTTCGGTCCTCTCTCACAACCTTCACTACCAATTAATAAACTAAATTCATCTATATATTACTCAGTTCTGAAATTTTATTCATATTATCATTTTCATTTATGCTTATTACCCTTATTACTCTCCACATTGCAACTAACTGATCTCCGGTTTGGTAAAGTGACGGCTGCTAGTATCCAGAAACCCTACTGCCCTGAAACAAACGTTTCATTCAAATCCCGAGACATACAAACTCACAACCAACTGCCAACTGACTAGAATTAGACAGTCGAGTGGCTAGACCTCCATCCATTGGACATTACCGAACACCTGGAACCGTACCGAAAGAACAAGAATCGAGCGCGAAGAAATCAAATTGGTTTACACTAGCTCGTGAAAAAGATATTGGATATTGGATATTGGATATTGGGTTCATTGGAGGTACTATAAGTTCAAGGACACGAACTGTAGCAGTTATCTGATTCTCATTATCTTGTAGACGTAAGTGGCTAGTAGTTTTTACTATATCGCTCTGTAAATATGAGAGGCGATTAGCTTTTTGGCGACCATAGCATATTTCAATAATTCACATCAGGCTTCTGTTCTGGTCGACTGACTGCTTTACATATAATTAACTACTTCACAACAGTTGCTTAAGTACATTTAGTTTCACTAACTGAGCTCGGATAATATCCTCTACTTCAAGTATTTTAATTGTCATATATTTTAGTACCATTTTTTGCTTTAAATCAGTAATTTCATTTCATTATGTTTATGTGGCGTGACTATTCAGACTAATTCACATTTTTACCAGGTTATTCTTCTAGCTTTGGTTGTTTTACTAACCAAATTTGAACAAGACTACTGGAACGAATATTAGAATGCTCATATAGGTTAAGTTGTGTGTTTTCTTCATTATTTTATACAAATGGTTTAATAAAAAAAACGGAATGGCGCACGAAAATGATTCATGCTATGGTACACTAACAAAATACACATTGGTAATGACTTTATGCTTATATTGCACGGATTTTCTGAATGAATTCGGATTCTAGCTTCGAAGCTGGCTACTTATTCGCTGAAGAGTGTCAGTGAACACATAGCCTCATGAAAGTCACGAGTAAAGTCTTGCGAATCATTTTACCTATGAATAGTAATTTTCTTCAAGGACCCTACAACTTGGCACCTATCAGTCTATTACGACAGAAGATGAGTGGATGTTTCTGTGCTATTGCAAACGATTTTGAGCCATGTCATTCAAAGTATCTAACCACCGATTGCTATAATTTCGCGGGTCTCAACCAGGTAGTCGACACCTACTAACATGACTCAATCCAGTTGTCAGTGATTGGAATTTTAGTTGTCACTGTAAAATAAATTTGAACGGGAATCAGAGCAAGAATATTATTTTCAATGGTGCCTATCATAGCATTTGTATGCAGGCTGGAATACTGTCCAGGCACTCAGATGAAAGCTGGTGGTTTTCTCATAATCCTACCTCACGAACCTTTAACCTGGATGTTTATTTCACAAAGCAGTGGAGCAGCATTGAGAGATGCAATATCATGATAACCGATGGCCAAAAATAAGTTCATTCTCTATTCATCTGCCAATGTAGTTTAGAATCAGGGGTTCCCAACTCCCCTAGTTTGGATCCTTCACACTTATCAATTCATTTTAAGTTCCGAGTGTTCGTTCTTCATCCTCTCACTTTTTTAAACAACAAGCCAACTAAAGGCAGTGAATATAAATTCGCCTTCAGTTGCGTCCAAAGTATTGTCTTCTGCCGTTTATACAACTCAGAAGAAATGTATTCTTAAGGAGCAAACAAGTGTTTGTTTAAGTTCTGAATGCGTCAGTCATACCAACCTCCTTTAAATTTTTAGATATCGATACACTTATTAAAGGCCAGCAATCATTTTATGATATTAGAGTCAACCTCTATTCGGTGAACAATGTTTTGTTCTGGGAATATCGTAAAAGCTCTGCACAAAAGCACTGTAAGTACAGTGAGGACGTGATGTAATCCGTTCCTATCCAATAGTGATTTTATCATGACTGCCTGATATCCTCAGTCCTCTTTGGCTTTTAGTCAGCGATATTCCGAAGCAGCTGTAGAGGAATCTCTGTGACAATGGTGATATAGATTGGTTAGTCGAAGAAGAATCCCCAACTTACAGTTTGCAGATAAATTTTAAATACTGTATAATTACATACAAGCTACCCGATTTTTACTTGGTTAGTAAATAACCAACAATCTGGAGTATTACAGGAGCTTTGTGCCGTTGATAAGCGGTTGTGCTTACTCCCTTGGCGATACCGTTCCGAATAGTCGGAAAATTCGTGCATCTATTTCGTTATATGATTAATAGCTATAGAGTGCAAATCAATCTACGTATGATAGAATGTAGAGAGGTTTATACTAACTTTCAGTACTACCACAATCGTAGTTCATTATTAAAAATTTAGGTATACACCCCTATTGGGAAATCAACTCTGTTCTATACTTTTAGAACGCGCCCTTTTCTTGTTAACTATCTACCCTCCCAATGTGATAATATCTTTTAATAATACTTATAAAACATATATGACATAAAGTAATAAGAAGTCTTTATAATATTGCAATTGTTAGACACTAGTTTTGATTTTTTATTTGTTCACTTATTTCCTAATCTAACCCACCCATCATATTCCTCATTTATATATATATATATATATATAAAAATGTATTTTATATTTCCATAGGAATGACAGCTGCAACTAAGAATACTTTTGGTATGTTGAATACATCAATTTTGAAGTTCATATCTTTATAAAAAAACTTAATAATCACCTGAAGAATCAGTCGGTTGTTCACACAGTGAAGATATTCATGATGATGTCAAATTATGTTCCGTTGAAGCTAAAGCTGCTATAGCTGAAGTGGGTTTTGGTGTTAAAGAAATATGCTTGGCATCCGATTCTTTACCATTCTGTGATACATTAGCCTACTTGAATCTAACTACATTGGAAGGCGAGAAAATGTGTATTGAAATTAGTGTGAAAGGATTTTGTCCTGTTGGTTCCTCGTGAGTTTCACACTCTTCTTTTTTTTTACTCTAACATTATAAATATCAGTTAATGTTAACCTTTAGTTTTTTTTTTAATGGTTCTATTTTTGTATTTTTGATTCCAGTTTGGGAAGTTTAAACTAGTCTACATTTTAAAACTTGTTTTTTTTTAAAATTTAAAACAGATAAGGGAAAGTTGTTTTTTTAGCATACCGTTGATTTATGATTTAAATACAGCTTTATTAGTTGTCTTTTCTGACGTTTACCAGAAAACTGTTTATCAAAGCTAAAACCTTTCATTATTTATTTTGAAACAGATGATTTTGGCATAGTTTTTGATAGTTGCTATCATTGTCGTGAACTGTTTTTGTGTCTGTTCAACAACTGCCTGTCTTGACGATTGGTGTTGTCTGTTTTAGGAGCAAGTTAGAAGAAAGCCTAGGGGCAGCTAAACCAAAAACATGAAACCAGTCCATATAGTTACTGACGGTTGAACTGAGATATATCGACAGATATAGACTATCTGCTTGGAGCCCGTATGATATTTGTAACTAGTTGTTAATAAATTTGAATGATCTGACTCAAAATCGTCTTCAGTGGCACAGATGCACCCATATGTTGTTGTCCCTCAAATTGTTAACTGAATTCCTCATAATTAAAAAAATTTTTATAACCTCACTGATTTATATTTTCTTCGGTTATCCTACCGGTATTGTTACTATCTCTAATACTCTGGGATTAGTCCTGAAAAATGTCATCTCTCTGTACTAATGGAGTATAACAACTTGAACTGATGTGTGTACGTATCTAATTTGCATCTAAATTACTGTCATGAGTTGTTTGGACTAATTACTTTGTGAAAAGACAAGAATAACTGGTTTGATAGTAAGGAGCACGTAGTGCGTAGTTCTTCCCAGCGCTTATTGACCAGTGGGGTCTTGATTATACACATATTTTTTTCACAAAATGCAATGTTTTGTGGTTCGAAATTATTTCTCACATTTTCTTTCTCATTTGATTGTTTGAAAGTTTACTGTGCTAGTTTCTTATTTGTCATTTAGCATGAGTTTATCTCGAAGCAATGTTTCATATAACTATGCCCATTGATAAAATTTTTTGACGTCAAGATAAATAAGGTTTGTGGAAGAAAGATGAATTCATTCTATTTCACAGTTTCGCATACAACTTAAAATTGTAACTAGCAACCAAATTGTTAGCCTTATTCAATTTGTGCATTTTAAATAGATATTCAAAAAGTAACTGAAATCCTTCTCCTCATCATCATCATCAGAAGAAGAGGGCATAGAGTACATAGATTAACGAGGTTAAGGTCAATATGTACTAGTCATATGTTACAAAATAAAAATGCAAAATACAATGGATGTTACTAGTTACCATCATTCATTATCAAGATAAAAGAAATGAAGTTTGAAAAAAGAATTAATATTTTTTTTTAGTGAACAATTGTTTTATATAATTTTCCTGTCAGGCTCTATAGTTATAAGTCCTCATAATTACTCACTTACTTACTTACTTACTTACTTACTTACTTACGCCTGTTACCTCCAATGAAGCATAGGCCACCGACCAGTATTCTCCAACCTACTCTGTCCTGGGCTTCGCTTTCCAGTTCTACCCAGCTGTTGTTGATTCTTCTCATGTTTGTCTCCATTTCTCGGCGTAATATGTTCCATGGCCTTCGTATTTTCCTTTGACTGTGAGGGCTTGTCTTGTGACACAGTTGGGTGCATTCCGTAATGTGTGCCCCATCCACTTCCAGCGCTTCGTCCTGATTTCCTCTTCCGCAGGAATCTGGTTTGTTCTCTCTCACAGTATAAGTTGTTGCTGATGGTGTCTGGCCGACGGATCCGAAGTATTTTACGTAGAAAACCGTCAATAAATATTTGTATCTTCTGCATGATGATTTTAGTAGTTTTCCAAGTTTCCGCTCCATACAGTAGAACTAACTACCTTGACATTTGTATTGAAAATTCTGACTTTGGTTTCCTCATAATTATTGTGACTTTTTTTTCATAGGCGAAAATAAAACATACATTAATCATACATTCAACTATGTTATCTGTTGTTGAAAATGGCGAAATTTTTGCATCTGTCACTGTATAAGTAACTACAATCGTTTGAATGAAATGCATTGTAGGAGAATTAATTATTTCGGGTTGGTGAAGATAATAACCAACATCGCATGAAAAGCGGTATAATAACCGTGTAACATTTTTTCATGTCTTGATTTTCAGAAGAATAAAAGAACATTTCATAAACAGACATTTCATTTAAAAGACCGAGCTGGTTTTAGACCTGCACGTGGTTGTATAGACCACATTTTCACACTACGACAGGTCCTGGAACACAGACACACATTTAGGCGTCCTACAATAGTTGTGTTCCTGGACCTAAAAGCGGCATTCGACTCAGTGTATCGTGAGGTTCTGTGGCAGTGTCACTCATTGAAAGGTGTACCAGAGAAGTGCATTAACCTTATACAAGCTCTCTACTCGAACACCACTGGTAGAATGAGAGCTTATGGCGAGCTGTCACCAGAATTCTTTACTTCAAGTGATGTCCGTCAGGGATGTCCGCTCTCTCCATTCTTGTTTAATTTTATCATAGACATGCTCCTAGAAATAACCTTATCCTCGTCTGAATTTTCAGGAGTAGACCTATTACTAGGAGGCTCGCTTATCGACTTAGAATATGCCAATGACATAGTCCTACTTGGTGAAGACGCTGACAAAATGCAGAGTCTTCTGACCACCCTAAGCAACAATGCAAGCATGTTCTGGATGCGGTTTTCCCCATCGAAATGCAAAATGTTGCTTTAAGATTGGGTTGCATCGGCACGTGAACTAGTGATAGGGAGTGAAGTAGTCGAACGTGTAGACCGCTTCATTTATCTTGGGAGTCTCATCAGTGCTGATGGCCTGGTGACTGACGAAATCTCAGCTCGGATACAGAAGGCTCGACTGGCTTTTGCCAACCTGCGTCACTTATGGCGTAGGCGAGATATCCGTTTGCTGACTAAAGGACGAGTGTACTGCGCAGTGGTTCGCTCCGTCTTACTTTATGGCTGTGAAACATGGCCAATGAGAGTAGAAGATACTCGTCGGTTACTGGTTTTCGATCATAGGTGTCTTCGAAGCATTGCTCGTATATCGTGGGACAACCGAGTAAGCTATGCTGTCGTTAGGAAACGCGTGCTAGGTAAGAATGACAGATCAATAGATGAAGTGGTGAAACTTCATCAGTTGAGGTGGTTGGGATATGTGTTACGAATGTCTAACCACCGACTGCCTCGACGAGCTTTGTTTTCTAGTTTAGGAGTAGATTGGACGAAAGCTAGAGGCGGCCAAACCAAAACATGCCAGAAATCCATGAAGTCACTGAGAAGTGGAGTGAGTCATGTTGGTAGATGTAGGCTACCTGGTTGGTGTCCGCGAAACTATCGTCACCGATGGTTAGAATCTTTGAATGACATGGCTCAGAATCGTTTGCAGTGGCGCAGGTGCATCCACTTTTTATGTTCTATGAAATTCTAAGCTTCTGCATTCCCCATAATCTCTACCTTTCTCCTCCTTAATTCATCTTACTGAATTATACTTTTCGAATCATATATTCTCTCCCCAATCTTCTCTATTACTGCTAATACTTCTATTATTGCTATCACTCTTGGATTTGAACTGACAGTTGCATCTCTGTGCTAATGGGGCATGGCAACCTGAACTGATGTACGTACGTACGAAGTTCTACGTTGTATCTGTCTGTCTGTCTTTCTGTCATTTAAAAGAAATATATGGACTCAACAGTACATACATTTTCATACCTTTAACCCCCCGCCTTCCTACAGTAGTAGCATATCATAATGTGGCTGATTGGATGGTGAAACCAGTCATGTTTTAAAAATAAAATGCTTTACGAAATTTCCAATAAAGACAGAACAAATATCATAACAGAGTAACATTAATTCTTTCCTGTCTTATGGATTCTCTCTTGTCAGTTGTTTACAACCTTAAAAAAAAACTAAACCCCATAGTATTAATTACTGAAAATGCAATGAAGTGTACATACTTTCGAAAATGTCAAGAATAACCTGGGTTAAGCTTGTTTAAACATTCATTTATATGTTAAATATATGGATATTCTCGAAGAGTTTGAATATAAAACAAAATTATATTTTTTTCTCAAAACAGAAACTATATTTTCATAATATCGAATTAGTGTATTAGAGAATTTTTTTAATCAAAAAGTTGATAGAATTAAAAAGCACAAACAATCTCTTATCTAATAAACTCGCATCGAAAATAATAAAGGTTATCAGGTTAAAACAAAAATTGATAAAATAACTCTTTCGTTTGTTTTGAATGCATAAAATTCGGTGTGAAATCATTTTATTAATACAGCTTTAGCTATTTGTGTAACAATTTTGAATTACTTGGTTTATTCTGAAAAAAAAAATTTAGGGAGTTCATTGTCAAATAGGTGATAAGCAGTTACACTGTTTGGTCTCAGCTTTTCTGGATTCTTTTCGGAGATAACAACCCTCCTCCCTATTCTTCTGATGTATATGCTTTGGCATACACAATTCGAGGTGACATAACGTGGTTATACGTCCACATTTGATTGTCTCAGTGAGCATGAGTTTGATACAGAAACACCAATTTGGCCTTTGGATATATTCTTTTTGGCATTCCATTTAGTGTAAAATCAATTCTCAAAGCTATTTCATTGCCTTTTTGAAACCGAATTTTAAGAAGACAGTATTTTTCTCAACCGTACGGTATTCCAGTCGTGCCATATTTACGTATGAATTTTTGTGGATAACTATTCTCACATAAGCACCATTTAACTATGAGCAATTCCTTTACAAGTCTATCCCTAGAGCATGGTTGAATAGAGTTTCTAACCTTTTGTAGTTTTTTAAGCAGAAGCTGTGGATGTTCAAGTATAGCCCTCCCCCATGTGTCCTTTTGATAAATATATCTTTTTAATCGGCCATTTGAATG